GATTAGATCATTTCAATACAGAGCATTCCCCACTATGCAATTCATGGCACCTTACATTGTTTTTGGAACCAGCTAAGGGATAGCCAAATGAATAAATAATCATTGAAATGTATGATAAGAATGAGTGATTGCTACTTCATCTCATGGAAACTGAAGCATAACTGCATGTTAGTTCTTTGTATTCAAACAAGAAAGTACAATAATACCTTGGTTTGCGAGCATAATTCATTCCGGAAACAAACTACTTATATTGCAAGACATCACTCGTTTACCAAGTTAAAATGTATTAGAAATGTTTCATCTTGGAACACTTGCAAACCAAGTTACTTGCAATCCAAGGTTTTACTCTATGTGATCATATATTAATTTTAAGAGTGGAAAATTTGATAACTTACATTCTTCACCTGTTTCATTCTTCCTCTTCACAATGTTAAAATGGACAGGTGATATCTGTAACTCTCTAATTTTTAAAAAATTGATACTATGTGATAAAAATATTCAGATAGTACAAAAAGGTATATAGTGATAAGTCTGTAAGAACGTCACCCCTAGCCCAATGGCAACCACTGTTATAATTTTCCTGTGTATTCTCTCAGAAGGATTTAGTGTATTAACAAACATACAGGAATATAGATAACCTCCATTATTCTTATATACAGAAATGGTAGCATACCATGCAAACCTATATTTTGCATTTAAAAAAAATGTTTCTTCAATATCATCCTATATTCATTTCTACCAACCTGTATCATTTTTTAAGAGCTGGGTAATATCACACTCCATGGATATTCCATAATTTAATCAGCCCTTTACTGATATATATTTAGGTAATTTATAACCTTTTGCTGCGACAAACAAGGCTGCAATGTACATTACCTGTACACATGCTTCTACACACATGTCCGAATATATCTTTGGGATAAATTCCTAGAATTCAAATTGCTGGAACAAAGGTAAATGCATTTTTTTTATTTGACAAACATTGCCCAATTTCAAGGCCATTCTTTTTTTTTTTAAATTAAATTATTTTTTATTATGAAATACACATTTTTTTAGACTTAGTTTCAGCTGTACAACACAGTGCAATAGTTATACTTTTTACCCCTCGAAGTCAAGGCCATTCTTAACATGATGTTTTCATACCTGCTAGGTGTCCATGATTGGGTTTAGAAGGGTGTCCGTAAACTATGAAAAATGTCAAATGTGCGTTTAGTTTTCTCAAGACAGGATTCATGGCTTTAATCAGATTCTCAAAGGGGCCTGTGACTCTAACAAGGATGAGAACCACTGAGTCAACCAGTTTTCATACAGCATCAAAAAACAACAGTAGCAGAAGGTGAAGCTAATAAGGACCCAGAAAACGCCTTCCTGAGCCCCCTGGTGGGGATAAAGAGGGAGGATACTGGGGGATGATGATAGCACTGGGTTTGTAACCATACAGGACCTCCTCCAGGGGAGATGGCTTAATTACACAGACGTCAAGGACCTTGCTCCCACTCACCACAAGGTCTCTCTACATTAGTTTCTGATAATAACTTACTGATACTTCTTGGAAGGTAGGGGGAGGTGAGTGACTGAAACCAGTGTTTTGAATTCATAGCGATTCATTGGCCATTCGTGGGGCCTCCTGCTCTGTTACAAGTCAGGCTGCTCACCCTGCATTATATCTAGGCCTTAAAGGGTTAATGGTATTGAGGGGGAAAGTTAAAGGTCTTTTCTGGAGTAATTTACAGTCTAGCCTTTAGCTGCAATTGATCTCTGCTGCTGATTATGGATAAAACATTTGCTATGGTTTTTTTTTAGTCTAGCAGTCCGGACCAAGAAGCAGTATGACAATTTACTGACCTCAAACATCTTGAACCTTTAAAAAGGATTCTTCAGAAGTGGTGGTTCAGGTTTCCATAGCAAAAGCTCTCAGTCCAGTTCAAACACAGCTGAACATTAACAAATTACTCTCATAAAATCAACAACAGGCCTTAAAGAGAAATCCTAAATTCCTAGGGAAAATTAAACTTTATTTTTATTTGTTTGACTTAATATATTGTGAAATGATTACCACGGTAGGGTCTGCTAACATCCATCATCTCATAGATGTAATAAAAAGAAAAGAAAGGAGAGAAGAAAAATATTTTTCTCCTCGTGAAGAAAACCCTTAGGATTTACTCTCTTAACATCTTTCCTATATATCATACAGCAGTGTTAGCTATAGTCATATACTGTACATTACAACCCTAGTACTTATTTATCTTAGGGAAATTAATCTTAATACAGTAAGCCACCTCAGTTTTAATTAAGTATAAAAACAAAAAAACATTTTGTTGGAGCTCCATATTGGTCTAGAAGTGTTAAGCACTGTAAAACTATGGGGTGAATTTGATGTGATAAGTATAATCAAGAGCTTGAGAATGGAGACAGTTTCAGCATTTACCATATTACCTAGAATTTATAGCATAATGACAGGCCTAAGTTTCCATAAGTCCTATGTTTTTGCTGTTATCAAGCATGCACATATTCATAGAAGTGTTTCTAAAGCTTAATTTGTCAAAGCAAGGTCCAAGAAACACCTGAATTACAATCATCCAGGGAGCCTATTGAATAGGCAGACTTCTGGATCCAACCCTATCTATCATTCTAGATATAAAATTGTAGGAATTGGGCAAAAATCTGCATGTTGTGCAGGCTTCCTGGGGATGTGCCTGAAGTTTGGAAACTATGGCTTTAGAAGTCATCTTAGTTTGGCCATCTACTCTTCACAGCTCCATCAGAAAGGGGGATGTGGGGCCCCTGCCGAGCAACCTCTGGTGAGAGAGCTCTCGCCAACTCCAAGCCCACCCAGCCTACGGGTTTCAAAAGTTGCCTCCTTAAATTCAACCAGAAACTACCATCCAAAAAACTCCTACCCAGCTCTCCCCAGCGCCACAAAGAATGAGTTGATTCCCTTGTCCACAAGCCAAGCCTCTCAAGCATTTAGGGCAATTAAATTATGTCCCCATACCCATCTCAATCTACCCTTCTCTAGTCGAAACGGCTCCAGTTCTTTCAACCATATTTCACATGTCAGCTTGACAAGAAGAAAGTTAAAGAGGAAAAAAAAAATATTTGGTCAAGATTTAGTCAATAAGCCTAAACTAACCTTAACCTAACCACAAACCTAAACCTTACGTCACTATGAACCAAACACTGATGGAACCACAGTAAGGCACAGAGACTAAACCTGTTTCTAAGTGGTCTGACCTTGACCAAGGACCACAGCTTGGAGCTTTGGAATCCTCATCTGTAACACAGGGTTAATAACCCCACTTCAGGATGAAATAAAGATCAAATGAGTAACCTAGGATGACTGTTATTCAAAGTCCTTCCAGGGAGGACGCTGGAGTGTCTATCAAACTGCTTCCATAAGTAGCACTAATTGCTGTGAAAGTAAACCCTCAAGGACTATATTTGGGCCAAATCACAGCCGAAGGTCCATCCAAATTTTTTTTTGAAGTTTTTCATTTTATATTAAAAAGTCATCTGAACTTTGAATTCTGCTCCAAAATATATCTATGATTGTATATAAAAAGTGTTTTTATCCTCAAATATTTTGGTAAAATTGACACCCAGAAAAATCCCCTCCCGTCTTATTTATTCAGAAGCTTCAGCTACTCCCTGGCACACCGCCTACCATCTGCAGTGCCTGCCGCTCACCTCCATCTCCCTTGGAGAACAGCAGCCTTAGTCTACAAACAGATGAGCAAGATGGGGAAAACAAACAAGAAATAAGCAAAGAAATGGGCCATCAGACATTAGTCTGGAGAGGGCCAGGGGGCTCAGCCTTCAGCTGCTGAGGGCTGGTGTGGTCCGAACTGACTGTGCATGTTACACTCTAAATTGCTTCTGGAGAAAAATTATCCCTCACAAATGTAGGAACATCTAGGAGGGAAATGCACAGACATCCTTGATTCAGTAGTTGCGTGTGTGCACGCTCGTGTGTGTGTGTGTGTGTGTGTGTGTGTGTACATGTGTATACATGTGTATGTCTGCAAAGAACGAGAAATCTGACCTGAGCTGAATGTAGGGGCTCTGGCCTTGGCTAGATAGGGCTCTGGGAAGTAAGAAGATCTTGGGTGGCAATGGTTACCCATTTCTCATTCCTGTCTCCTTTCTCTTCTGCTTGCTCTTCTACCTTTCTGTCACCTGAGAATTCCCTGGCAACTAATAAGCTAGGGCTTGGCTATCAATAGAGTTACCTGCAATGTAAGGAGGAGGTGGAGGGTTCTAGGATGATGGGCAATGGGGGATAATTTGGAAGACAGGACCCGATCCATTCTTCCCACTGTTAGCTGGAAAGATGTGGGTTGCTCAGGACCCACAGGCTCCAAACAACTCACAGAAGACGTGCATCAACTTGGGAGCACTTCAAGTTGGGCAAATTGTTGAAAAGCAATCACGTCTTTGGTCAAAGTCTCCAGCTGGTTAAAGCCATGACAAAATAATGAGACTGACCCACCCACAAACTCGTCTTGGATCTCATTAAATAATAACAGATCCCCGTGTGTCAGGCTTTGTGCCGATGGCATTAGCTATTCCAGAAGGAGAGAAAAAGAAAGAAATTAGGAGAAAGGAGTAAGTTTCTTTAAAAGGGCAAGGAAAGAATTAAAAAGTGAAATTTGGGTGTTGGACTGAGAAAATTCCAGGGAATACTAACTCAATCCTTTGTTTCTAACGCCCAAACCCAGCATAGTGCTTGGCACATGAACTCAGTAAATAACAGCTGTGGTCTCTGATTGGCATCCTGAGCTGTACAAACTTCTGGATAAAGGCGGTGTTTGCCTCCCTCTTGTCCACAGGGAGCAAGTCCCGGCCCGCGGCCTCCCGCTCCACCCAATGCTGCCCGAGTCACGCCCGGCAGAGGGAACCCCCTCCAGGGGGCAGCGCAGGCCGGGCAGTCCCCGCGAGGCGCTCCGGGGCTGACTCGCCCGTACCCCGAGCCCAAGACCCCAGGCCTGGGGCCCCCTTACCTCTCTTGCCGAGACGGGACTACCGTCGTCCACAGCGGCCACAGAGGTCACACCCTTGTCGGGGCCGGGCAGCGGGTCTTATCCCCGGCGGACCCGCCCCACTTCGGGGTGGAGACTGAGCCCGAGTTCCTGGTTATTCCTCTGCCCACGAGACCGGAAAATCCTCCGGAGCGAAGCGCACCTGGAGCGGGCCCGGGACCGCCTCGCCCCCAGGCCGGGGGCTGCACAGGGCGGCGGCCAATCCCGCTCTCCCCGCGTTGGATCACCCACCGCCCAGCCCCGCTCCTGCCCCGCAGAACCCGAGCCCCTGTAATCTTCACTTCTCGAGTGCCTGGGCGCCCCAACCCTCGGGGGTCCCAGTCCCCGGGTCTCTCCCGACCCCCCCCGCGCCCGCCGCGCCCAGCTCTGCGCTGGAGTCGGGAATCCGCGGCGAGTCAAATCGTCCTCCCGGGGAAACTGCACTTATTCTGTCAACATCAGGGCTCACGCCGTAACCCTGGCCCGAAACGTGGAAAGTCAAATCAGAACGGCTCATTTCGTTTCCCTCTTGAATGTTGAAACACATTCCAAAAAGTTTCTAATAGTTCCACATCTCCCTAGAGGAAAACCGAGTTCCCTTTCCCTGGGGAAACCTTTGGGAATAGGAGTGAGCAGGACCCCCAGCTCTTTCTGCCTTCACCTGTTAGATTACCAGGGTTTGGGACTAGTCAGCAGCTACTGGGTTCGGCCTCCGCGCAGCACTCGCCCTTTGTAATACAGTTCAACGTGTTCCTATCTGTCTCCTCGACTGGACACAAGGCTCTTGAAGGCACCACCTGAGTGAGTCTGGGTCGTCTTTGCTCCCGTGCCCAGTACTGTTTCTGGCACATAGTAGGTGCTCAGTGAATGCTTGCAGAATGAATCCGTGGAGCCTTACAGGCAAATTTCGATTTTATTTAACAAAGGATAGGCAGCTTTGGGGAGTGTGTTTGCTATCTAGCGGACCAATCCAAGAGGCTATTCGCACCCTTAAAGCCAGAGAGGTAACATCAAATGATTTCATTCAGATGGTGCTAAAGGAGGTGGGATGACATAGTTAAAAGCAAGGATCAGACTGATGTGGATTCTAAACCTGGTTTTGCCCCTTTTCTCTGCTTGAAAACTTAGTTTCTGAGCTTCCGTGTCTGAACTAGGGAGAAAGCAAAATTAACAAGACAAACAGAAAAAAGAATGAAATATGGACAATTTATTTCCTCAGAGAGATCAGAGGGACTATGGCATCCCTTTAAAAATAACAAATTGGGGCTGGCTGAGTGGCACGATGGTTAAAAACTGGCTTGGGACGCCAGAGAACCCCGGTTCGATCCCACATATGAGGGCCTGTGACACCGCCCTCTACAGCTAAGATGCTGAACAACAGCTCAAACTGGAGCTGGGCTGCTGAGAGTCCCCGGTTACAGTGTAGGCTGCCTCCACTGCTGCAGTGGGTTGCCATGGGCTACCGTGTAGCCAGCAGCCAGCGTGAGCGGGCAGCAGCCAATGTGAGCGGCCGTCCAGAAGCCAGCGACTGATTTGCCTCCTCCTGGAAGAGCGCGATGATGGTTCCAACTTGGGCCAGTGAAGCAACGTCCTCCACAACTAGACTGAAGAACAAAATGACAGCAACTTGTCTGTTCCCCTTCCCCCAATTCCCCAGCACTGTTCCCATCCCCCCAATTCCCCAATAAAAATCTTTAAAAACAAAAAAAATAAATAACAAATTGGCAACCTTAAAAAAAAATAAAATAAAAGGTGAGGAATGGAGCAAATGCTGTTAGCACCTTGACAAAATCGCTTTTACTAGATCAGGTTGGAAAGCCACAGTCAGAAGCTAACGTTAATGCGGCACAAAAGGCCAGGCATAAACCTGTGATACCCTTCATATTCCAGAGCTCTCCTGGGCTTAGGGTGAAGCTAAATCTCAGCAGAAACCATAAACTCCCTTCTTTACAGTATCCTACTTCTCTCACTTATAGGTTTCACCTGAGAATCTTTCCTTACACAAGAATCCCCATCTCAGGCTCCACTTCCAGGAACTGGATCTAAGACAGGGTGTTTTAAAAATTAATATAATTGTTGAAATGAAAGACTCCAAGGAGCCTTTAAACTAAAGATAGCAGAGTGAACACAGGCATTTGCTCCAGCTCCCTCTGCAGATCCACCTAAAACAATAGTAGTTTTGTTTTTAATCTCATAAGTACAAGGGGAAAAGAGGAAAAAATAACAAAACTTTGGAAACCACAAAGCAGATAGGTGATAGTGGACTTCGCAGACTTGAGAAAACTGACTCCTAAGACAGGTGTAGCTGAGAAGCAACACGATATCGTAGAATATCTCAGGATACACAGAAATTTGCTACACCAGGTAGGTACTTCTGAAAGTCGGTCTATAGTTAAGATGAAAAACAGGAGGATTTTTTTGTAAGTCTATACAGGAAGCCGTCAGACTCCTCCATCTCCTTCCCACACTGCACAGCTGGCACTGCTCCTCTCCCACTTGGGCAGAAGATTGGAAACATCCTCTGGAGGGGAAAAAGCAGAGAATCTCTGGCATGGGACATTCCAGGTGTGTGGGTAAGATGTTCTGGTTATCGAAGGCTGCCTAACAAACTATCCCAAAACTTGGTGACTTAAAACAATGACCATTTCATTATGTCTCATGATTTTGTGGGTCTGAATTTGGACAAGGCTTGCCTGGGCAATTGTTCTGTTCCATGTAGCATCAACAAAAGTCACTTGGTGGTATTCAGTTGGCAGATGGGCCAGTCTGGAGGATTCCCTCACATGTCTGGCATCCTGGCAAGGGTAACTGGAAGGCTGGTCTCATTTGGCACTGTCCACCAGAGCACCTACGAAGTCAGACAATTAAGTTCGTGAACTCATCCTAGAAAAAGTGCTACATACGTCATTACTGAATATCACGATGGTCACCTTCGAAGTACTCCCCTTGGAAAGCTATGCACTGACGCCAGCGCCTAGTCCACCCTTCAAAGCAATTTTGGAATTCTTTTTCTGGAATAGCAATCAGAGCTGTCTTCGTATTACCCTTGATGTCCTGAGTGTCAGAAAAATGTATTTTTTCCTATATTTCCTTTATCTTTGGGTAAAGAAAGAAGTCATCGGGGGCCAGATCAGGTGAGTAGGGAGGGTGTTCCAATACAGTTCTTTGTTGACTGGCTAAAAACTCCCCCACAGACAGTGCCGTGTGAGCTGGTGCAGTCATGATGCAAGAGCCATGAATTGTTGGTGAAAAGGTCAGGTCATCTGACTTTATCACGAAGCCTTTTCAGCACTTCTAAATAGTAAACTTGGTTAACTGTTTGTCCAGTTAGTACAAATTCATAATGAACAATCCTTCTGATAGCAAAAAAGGTTAGCAACATCTGTGCAACAAGTTTGCGAACTTGTCAGACCGCGTATGTGTGTTCCTTCCACATGACAGTCTCAGGGTAGTCAGATTTTCTACATGAAGGCTCAGGGCTTCTCAAGGGATACTCCAAGAGATCCAGGAAGAAGTTACTGATTTTCTTATTACCTAGGCTTGGAAGCCCCTGAGTGTTACTTCTGTTGCAGCCTATGGGTCATGCAAATCACTAGGGCCAGCCCAGGTTCAAGAGAAAGACAACTAGGTTCTATTCCTGACTGGGGGGACTAACAAAAAAAAATTGGCACCACCTTTAATCTACCACACGACTCTAGGGGAACTATACTGAAATTGAAGATCTATATGAAACAATACAATAAATATCGAGCTGCTCAGCTTTCTTCACTTGTCTCCTAGAATACTGGCCACTAGGATGGGGAGTTTGGAATATTGTACTCTTCTTTGGGGAGGAGTAAGGATCTAAAGAGACTATCATCATTACTCAATGAAACTGGAGCAACCCTGTAGTGAAATCACTTTAGTCAAGCCCCACCCACTTACACACGTACAAAGTTTTCAGGCAGCATTTTAGATCTCACTCTTAGGGTTGTAAAGTAAAATATAGGGCACTTGGTTAAATTAAAATTTCAGGTAAGCAACAAATAATTTTTTACTAAGATATAAAATACTTATATATTATAACTATGTCCTAAATATTGCATGGGACACATTTAGCTAAAAATTGTTTATCTAAAATTCAAATTTAAGTGTTCTATTGTTTTATTTAGTTTTGCTAAATCTGGCACTCTTAAATAAGAGCAGACAGCTGAAGGATGTCAGAATTTAAAGGAAGAATCTGACATGAAACATAGAATAGAAAAAAAAGAAACTTGGAAGAAAGAGACCATATGGAGAGAATAAAAACTTTGAAAAATCTATTACCTATCTCCTTTGAGAAATAAAACAGAATAAAAATAGAATAGATTCTCCAAAAAATGAACATTCAGAAAACCATACAGAGCTCCTTTAAATTAAAAATGTGACAGTAACAATGAAAAACTCAGTAGAGTGGTAGGGAGGCAAAGTTGAGGAAATAGCCTAGACTATATTGACAAAAGACAAAAAGAAGAGAAAGAGGCATGAAAGGATAAGAAAATTAGAAAGCCAGCCCAGAACATTGGGGAAACAGAGGAGAAGAAATCGATTAAATAACTCAATTATACATCTTTAGAACTAAAGGACATGTGTTTCCACATTGAAAGTGCTTGCTGACCCCAGCACAATGGACAAACACAGAACAAGGAACATCATGATAAAATTTCAGAAGACTAAAGACATAGACATGATCTTACAAGCACCCAGAGAGAAAAATGAGGTTTCATATAAAGGATCAAGAACAAGAATGGCATCAGATTTCTCCGTAGCAACAAATGAAACTGGAAGACAGTGGACTAATGCCTTTATAATTCTGAGGGGAAATTATTTGCAACATAAAGTTTCAAACCTATCCAAACTATTGGTCAAATGTAGGAGTAAATAAAGATATATCCAGAAAAGCAAGATTTAAAAAATTTTATCTTCCACGTACCTTTTCTTAAAAAGCTTTCAGATGGTGTGTTCCATCAAAATGAGGTAAACCAAGAAGGTTAAAAATAATGAATAGCAGAAGAGACAACTGAAATTTGAACGGCAGGGAAGGGTGGTTAATAAACACTATAGTTA